GGGGGGAGGCGACCAGGTTCAGCTACAGCATGGGATGGTGGAGAAGGGGGGAGCTTGGCACTTACATCCTTGGCATCTTTAGCGTTCGGCGAGGCCGTAGAAAGGTAGGGGGTTATCTGTGGGTGAGAAGTCTGTTGTTTTTTTCCTCCTTTCTTTTTCTTCTTCACAACACTGGCCTCCCCCTTGTTGGGGCTGGATAGCTGCCTTTTCTTCGCTTTAGCTGAATGCATGTTTGCGTGGGAGGAAGGCAGGGAGGTTGGAGTCAGGCCAGCCAGATAAGGAGGCACAGTATCAGATGAACTTTCCTTTGCTTTGTTGTAAATGTAAATGTCCGGTGAAGTGTCTTTTTAGCAGAGCTTGCAGAGAAACCTCGCCGCAGCTCAGCTCAACCCGAGAAGCAGTGGGGAAAAAAAAAAAACATAATTTGAAGCCAGTAGGTGGAAAATAGAGATTTAAAAGCCGGAGCTGATAGCGTGGGCGTCTGCTATGGTCGCCATCTTCCCTCATCCAACTCAGTGAATCTGGCCTTCTCGCGATATACTCAAAGTATGACAGGTTCAGTTTTTTTTCATTTTTACTTCCAGAGAATTTTTTATTATTTATTTATTCACGTCAGGAAGAACAACCTTCAGAACATGGCCAAAGAGCCTGAAAAACCCACAACCATTATCAGCTTGATTTATCCCCCTACCCCAATCAGTCATTTCGCTTTGAGGCATGATCTGAGTCTCTTTTACTCTGTGGATTGCAAAGTCCAAGTCTTTCACCTTCCCTGTTGTAGTAAGGTGTGCCATGGATTGGTCCGGTCGTTACTGCCTCCTTCAGCTGTTCACATGACTGCTGGTCCTCGGGGGTCCCTCTGATGATCACTGGCTCCTTCCGCGTTCTCTTCCGTCGACTGGAATTCATCGGCCACTCAATTGTCACTGGACGTCCTCTGTTTGTTGTTAGTGACGTCTGCTTTAAGTCTGGCTTGGGGCTTCACTAGCCCAATTAAACAAGGTGCAGGAATTTGATCAGAGATTGCCACATCCCAAATTCCAACCCAATCTCTATAGCTTATCTTTACTTTAGCCATAGGTAAAGTCACTGGAGTAGAACTTATTCCCTTGATTGTAACAGTTTGGTTTGAGAGAATTTGTTCTTTAGGAATCACATCAGGATGACACAGATTTATGTTAAAACAAGTATCAACCACTCCTACAGAAGTATTTTCATTAATAAAAATCCTTTCCCCAGGGTTTGAACTAAAATATCTTCGGCCTTTACTAGAAAACAATGAACCACCTGGGCTAGTGGCAGATCAGAATTTTCTGTTGTGCCAGTTGCCATGGAGATAGAACTACCATTGTTACAGCCTCCCTCAGTGGCTTCAACTGGTTTTAAACCAGGGGTCTCAAACACGCAGCCCACGGGCCATTTGCAGCCTGCTGGACAATAGTTTGTGGCCCCTGCCTTGCCTCCCCCCCCTGAAGCACCCACATATCCTCTGCTGTCAAATGTCAAAAAAAGCCTCACCTTGCTCGCTGGCTCTCTCCCAAGACAGCGCCTCTTGCACCCTCCATCCAGAACGGCAGCCTGCCAGCCAGCTCGCCTGTCTGACGTCTGTCAGGCTACAATTCCGGATGGAGGGTGAAAGAGGTGCTGTCTAGGGGAGATCCAGCGAGCGAGGCACGCTGCCAGCCCTTTTCCCTGAGCGCCTAAGCCGCCGCCGCGTGATGCCTGAGAGTGAAGCTTGCTGGGCTGTCCTCAAAGAGCACCTCCAAGCTGCCAACAGCAGTTTCCACCACCTCTTCCAGGGAAGCGGTTCTCTGACTCTCTTTCTCTCTCAGCACCCCCAGCACAACCGGGTCAGCGGCCACCTCAGCACCCAGCAGTGCTTCCTCCTCCTCCTCTTCATCCTGCTTCAGCTGCCTCGGCTCTGGAGGCTGCCTGGGCTCGCCTCACAAAGTTTGCTCCTCTGTCGTGGTGGGGGTAGCTGCTGCTGCTGCGTGTGCCTTTTTTGAGGGGGCCCTCAGAGGAAGGTTGCCGGACCTCCGTATGTGTGTGTGTTTGTGTGCATGTGTGTGCATGCACCTGTGGGGGGCCCGCCCTGTTCTGCTTAATTTTGCGGGTATGGTGGGGGCTTTTCTCCTTTGGCAAGGCGAATTCTGTGAGGGTTTAAAAAAAATTATGTCTTGCCCTCCTCCCCCCAGCTAGGCGGTCGCAGGCGCTCCTTCCCTTCTCTGCTTCTTCATTTTGCTGGTGCTGCTGGTGGTGGTAGTGAAGAACGAGCCGGAGATGGTCGTGGCTGGCGACGAGGGTGTGCGCGCCCCCTCCTCCTCCTCCTCAGAGCCCCAGCCGGGCTAAGGAAATGCCTGGGCGGCTTCCTCGGGCTCTTGCTCCACTTGGCGGAAAATCTGATGCAGCCCAGCCCCACCCAGACTCTGCCTCCAGTGCCCCCCAAGTAAATTGAGTTTGAGACCCTGTTTTAAACAGTACACTTTTTTTGGTCTGTCCATCCTTCCCATTTAGACTCTTATTTTTGTTCTTCATACAGTTGTAAGTGACCGAACTCTCCACAGTTATAACATTTGTAAGAACTTCTCTCATTCTGAGGAGATCTGTTCAATTTTAACTTTTCCTCAGGGTTCATTTGGGTCTGAGAACTAGGCCATGCTAATTTAGGTGAAGTACTAACCTGGCCTTCTTTTCCTGTTGTTTTGCTGAGGTAATTTTTATTAAAGGGTTTCTTATTGTTGTCCCAGTTCTGCTTTTTAAAATCTACCTTAGAGAACTTATAGTCTTGAATCTCCCCAATGTAATCAGCTGTTTCACCTCCTTCTAATAGATTTTTAGGATTTTATCCTTAATTAAATAACGCAATTCCCTAGGCAAGATAGAATAAAATTGTTCCAATCCGATCATGTTTTTCATCTACTCAAGAGAAGTGACATTTTCACGTTCCATCCATTTCTCCAAGCATTGCAGCATTTTAGCCCCTATCTGAGAATAAGATTCCTGAGGCTTTTTGGTCAGGGAACGAAATTTTCACCTCAGGTGTTCTGCATTGATACAAAATCTAGAAAATACCATTTTTTCTATAGGCTTCAAAATCTCTAGCCTGCTCCAAAGGCATCTGAGAATACAGCTCAACTAAATTTCCACTTATTTGGGATCTCAAAACCATCATCCTTTCATCATTCTTAACATTAAAGTCCCAGCATGCTCTTTCAAATGAAATGAGGAAGGGTTCAGGGCAATCTTCTTTCCTATATTGGGGAAATTTCTTTAGATCGATCTTTGAAAGATTTCCCTCATGCCGTTATTATTGTTATTCTGAGCAGTTAATTCTAATTGTTTCATTTGTATTTGAAATTCCAATTCTCTTTGTCTTAATTCCATTTGTCTGGCCTCAGTTCTCTCCTTTTCTCTGATTTCTAGTTCCCTGAGCTCTAGCTCCTTAGCTTCAGCTCTAGCTTTTTCTCTCTCCTTAATCTCTAATTCCTTGAGCTGTAGCTCTTTAGCTTTTTCTTCAGCTCTGGCTTTTTCTCTAATTTCTAATTCCTTCAATTTAAATTCCTGTTGTAATTTCCATTTTTCAAAATCTTGGGAGTTTAGATCACCTCCTCTCCCTGAGGCACCCTCATGAGTTTCCCCCTGTTCCACAGCTAGCGGGTCTCCATTTCCCTCCACTTCCTGAGGTAAACTTTGTGCCTCTTGAGGTTCAGTTACCTCCATTACTGGCTTTTTAGTTCTTTTGGGTGGCATAAGTATGTACTTTCATTGATAAGAGTTGGTTCCTATTGCAGAGTTAGTCAGGCCTCTTTTAAAACACTATTTTACTGCTGTTTTCTTTTTCCCAGTATTTTTCTGGTGTACTATGTTGCTCTCAATCAGCAGCTAAAGATGGCTACACTTATTCTGGCCTCACGTCAGCCACGACAGTTTCTTTGTCTGAGGCAACTTTCTTGCCTCCAGCCACCAAACAAATTCTGTTTTCAAGCCTCTGCTTTTTATATTCCTTTTCACCTCAGATCTCTTCTGACCCTGGTTTCTGCTTTTTATCCACAAGCGCTCCCTTAACACTCAGAGTCTTGGATTTTAAGCTAACCCACTGGGTCTGTTCAAATCCTGAGGTAACCTCAAAAGGAATTTTCTCTTCAGAGTCATTCCCTGTCTTAGTCCCCCCTCAGATCTGGGATTAGAAGCCTAGCCACTAAGCTTTACCACTAAAGCTCTAGCAGGTAACCCACTGGTTTACCACAGACCTCTTGACTAAAAGGTATCATTGACTCAAAAAAAAAATCACTTTGACTGGATTCTTTTGGATCCCACTGCTGGACACCAATTGTGACATTCGCCTCTATGAAGCACTTACTTTTTGTGCCCTCACAAAGGTTCCAGTCTTTGTTTCCCTCACTGCCACCAGTGGATTACCTCTATCCACAATATAAAAGACATTTGTCCAAACACTTTTCTGGTAAATGCAAACAGAACTTATTTATTGAAGTGTAGCAAAGTTAATAATAATCACAGATGTTCTTCAGTTTTCATTGAACACAAGCAAATCATTCACAGGTCTCTCTATACATATTTTCATCATGCCATATAATTAATTACCACCTTCTCTATCTATTTATCTTAACCAGCTTAGCTCTATTAATTTTTGTTCCTTCTCTCTCTGACTCTCTGATTTTGACTCTTCTGGCTCACTCTTGACTGACTGATGACTCCTCTCAGGCTCCGCCTTTTAACCTCTCTCTCGGCTCTGCCTCTCTGCCACATTTGCATAGTACATGAATAATACTTGACTTGTTTTGCATAACAAGGGATGAACGCTACACTGCCTTTCTCCTGAAGAATCCAAGGCGGATTACAATAAATTCAGGCCTGATTAGATCTAGGACCCATTTGTTTCTCTTTCTGAAAGTCCAATACATCTACAATGCTCTCTTCCAGCACCATATTTCAAATTAATCAAAATATTTTCCTGTCAGCTTTCTTCACTGTTCAGCTTTGAAACCCATACATAGTAATTGAGAATAGAATAGTGTGGGTGATCCTGGCCTTGATCTCCAACTTGAAATAGTTCTATTTGGAATTTCTTGTTTGTATTTCATCTATTCCTGATGATTTATTTCTTCCCAGTGCTTTCAGAGCAGCTTTTACTTCATTTTCTAAAATTGCAGGTTTTCCTTTCTTGGGGATTGGAGTTTCTTAACATTTAGTTATCTTTTCTAGTTCCTTCTGAGGAAGACCAATAGGGGCAAAGTGTCTTTACTGGTCCTCCTCAATCTCTCAGCAACCTTTGATACTGTCGACTGTACCCTCCTGGGGAAGCCGTTGGGGCTGGGAATCAGTGGTCTGGCCTTGGCCTGGCTCTGGTCCTTCCTAGAGGACTGCCCCCAGAGAGTGCAGCTGGGTAAGATGATCTCTTCCTCTTGGACTCTAAATTATGGAGTCCCTCAGGGATCAACCCCCCCCCCCCCGTTATTTAACATCTATATGAGACTGCTGGGAGAGGTCATTCAGAGATTTGGAGTTTCATGCCACCAATACACAGATGACACCGAGCTCTATCTCCCCTTCCACCCTTCTTCAGTAGATGCTGTCCCATTCCTCAAGTGCTGCCTGATAACAGTTCTGGAATGGATGGGGTCCAACAGGCTGAAATTGAATCTGGACAAGACAGAGGTCCTCTGGGTGAATGTTCCTGCCGCCTGTGGATTCAGTGCTTCCCTAACTTTTTTGGGGGGAGGGCTATTCTTCCAAGAAGGATGAGGTTCATAGTTTGGGTATTTTATTCAATGGAATCTCAGATAGCATCTGTGGTCTGATCCAACTATTTCTTTCTCAGGCACAGACTGTCCACTCATGATTTCACTGCTGATGTGAGCTCGTCAGACTTCCTATCGCACCATTGTCTGCAATTGATTACCCAGTCCTGGCAGGAGGCGGGATGACAAGCCTCTCTGCTAGGTTGGAGAGTGGCTAATCCATTGCAGAGATCAGTGCGATAGGAAGCCTCTGCGGAGCCAGCAACAGTGGCAACAGTGGCAAAATGGTGTCTGGACTGTCCGGTCCCAATTAGCCATACTCTCATTATTTCCACCTGTGTGGGGATATTTATAAACAAATACCTCCATCTCTAATAGTAATCTGTTTGGTTGTTTGAAACGTGTATGTGAGGTAAATAGATTGTTGGCTTCACTAAACTCTATGAGTCATTCTCCTGCTTAATTTTTGGCCCCTAAGCCAAATTTTCCAACGACATTTGGTTCTTACTTACTTACTTTGTATTCCAGTCAGTTATAATTACAAACGTGTCATATTATGGTGCATGAACAATTTCCTCCCGGATACTTGTGCAATAGCTTTCTGTTTCATCTTCTTCAGCATTTTTAGTTGGAGCATAGACTGAAATGATGGTTACGTTAATAGGCTTTCTAAGAATTCTGATGGATATTATTTAGTCAGACTTTGCATTACAGCCCCTAACCGCCTGTGCTACATCTTGACTGTCTTAGACCCACTCTGGTCCTTCTGAGCTTGTCATTCCCACAGCAAAACACTTTGTAACTGTCTGACTGAAAATATCCAACTCCAGGCCACTTTAGTTCATTTTCATCAAGTGCTGCAATGTTCAAATGTTCCATTTCTTGCTTTACAGTTTCCAGTTTACCTTGATTCATGTTTCTCATGTTCCATGTTCCAATTCTATGTGTTGTGCAGCATCAGACTTTCCTTTCACCTCTGTGCATATCAGCCACTAGTCATTCTTTCGGCTTTAAACTAGTTGTGTCATTAGTGACAGTGCAATTTGTACTTGTCATTTGCTCTTCTCCAGTAGCTGATTGAGTGCTTTCTGACCTTTGAATCTCATCTCCCAGTACCATATCTTGTTTCTGTTTGGTTTGTCTCATCATAGCATTTTCAAGGTTAGAAAGATTCAGCAGTGGTTTACCATTACAGTACCTTCTTTTGGTTAGTACTAGCAGAAGTTACCTTCAGTGTCATTGGTATTGTTTGTGAAAGATCCTCTTCTAATGTCACCTTCAGCTATTGCTGCCCAGGAGCTGATCTCGGGAAGTTTCTCCAACCGCATCACCACTGGAACTATCCAGTCTCTTCTGCTGATGTGGCTGTTCTTGAAGAAGGTGGATGCATCATAGCCTGGTGCCTCAGCTGTGAACATTCTGCCTTGTGTAACTCTGCTAGGGGTCCAGGATCATAATGGAATCTAGCCTTCCCATAGCATTGCACTCGGCTTCTCTGACATGCTCAAATCTTCTCACCATGTTAAGGTGTGCATTCAAGAGGGGGCTACCTCATTTACATATGTACAATATTGATGCATAACAATTATCTTGAGCCTCAAATCACATTGTGCAGCAGCATGAATTGATATGCTTGGGTGCGGGTAAGAAACATTCAACCTTCCCCTTAAATTATTTCTTTACCGTGAGGAATGAACAACAAGAGGCAACATTTAAAATAATATTTCCCAATCCAGTGCTCTCCAAATATGTTGGGCATCATGAATCCCAGGCAGCAAATATGGCAGGGGTCGCAGACTAGTTAGAGAAATGGACTATGAGACTTAGAGTGGCTTGAAAATGCTTTTAGAAGAAACTGCTTCCTGGTAAGGAAAGAGGAGGGCAGTATATGTGACGGCTTGGCAGAAGAGAGGAAAAATGGCCAAGCTTTTCCTTGATACACTTTGAGCAACTTGGAGGTTTCTAAAGTCAATGCGTAATGAGGACAGTTGAAATGATAGCAAGGCAGAAAATATCAGGCAAGAGCAGACATTTTAGTGGACCATAATCTGTTAAACACTGTTTTAAAAGGATTTTCATAAATATACTACATTATTTTCAGAATACACTATATCAGATTGAATCTGGTACATATCCTGAGATTATGGAGTTTAAGGATGGAATTTATAGCCTTGTCTGTTTTCACCATAAGAAAAGAGTCTGCTTTGGAAATCCAGTGTCACTGAAACGTAATGTCTTCTTTTGTTTATCCCCCCCCCCATATGCATCTTCATTTATTGGCTCTCCCCTCTTCTAATTGCTAGGAGCCCCATGGTGACCGTTGCTGAAGAAAATAATCCCCTTCAACAATCACACAGCACCATAGCAACCAGGACGTCAGCATGAGACAGCTGCAGGTTACCATCCTAATTTCTGTCTTTCCCCAGGATCTGAAGCATTTGAGGTGAGATGGCAATGTGTGTGCCATGAGCAGTGAGAACCCTGGACAAAAACAACAGCAGAAATATTCCTCAGCAGAGCGACTGCAAAGGTAAGGAGGTCTATATGAGCATTGTTCATTTGCTTTGTAGCACTCAGCCTGAAATGATGCGTTCTGTACATTTATTCTTGCTGCCAGCTGTGCACCGAGAAGGGGCGATAGGAAAAGCAGGAACACAGCTACAGAGACTTAATGAAATTATTGATCCCCCAGGGTGGCAATTGCTTTTGAGTCATATGCAAATACTAGGTTATTAACTAGCTGCCCTCAAAAAAACTGTGTTGCTGTCCATGGTACTGCGGGTTTTTTAAACTGTCAAAATGAATTCTAAAAGGTCCTCTACTACCCAAGGAGGAAAGACAGATTTCTCTTGCCCTTCATGTATTAAAAAGCAGGCTCCACTGAAATACGTGAGTCCCACTGTCCGATGTAACTACTGCTAGTAACTATTCAGTAAAGTAGGGGGTTGGAAACAAAATATTTTCATAGGATGAATTGATTCTGTTGCATAACAAACGGGTACTCTAAGGCGCAGGTTAACATTTAAATAAAAGGGAAAAGAAAACTTGATTGTCAGGTCATGAAAGAAGGAAGCCACATGATCTATCTCCCATGTGATCATTTTTAGGAGGATAATAGGGGATGGGTGCCAAATGTGAGCCCAGAGCAAAACATTCTCATTTTCTCTTTTCAGGAAAAAAATGTACAATATATTGTACTTCTGTATGAAAACCTAAACTGAATTAATACCCAAATGTAGGACATTTCAAAGTAACTGTGAATGTGCTTCTGAATACCACTATCATGAATGTTATATCATCCAGATCTCCTAACGGAAAACTCACCTCATCTCTGGATTATGATTAGAAGCAGGTATGGTCAATTTTCTGTTCTTCATTCTTGTGAATGCTGTGATAGAGGAGAGCTTCCTTACCGATTTGGAACAAATGTATTTTCCTTCTAATTATAGTTTGGGATTTTGGTTTTCATTTTTTGTGACTATTGCTAGGCTGCTTTTAAGGTAGATCCAAATAAGGAAAATGCATTGGAATATTTATTCCATATAAACAGCTATTAATCCTTAAAATCAATAAGACAATCGTGTTTCCCCAGTATTCTGCACTGATATTATTGATGCAAGAATGATTTTTCTTCTGAAGCAATGTAATCTAAGGCATAACTAACACAGAGGCTTACTCTGAATGATAGTTGTAAGTACAAACACGAAGGTAGGTTTCCTTCTTCCATTATCCAAGAAACATGCCTTAATGTTTCACAGCTGTTGTTCTGTTGCTTTTCTGTGCACCTTGCATGTAGAGAGTCCCGGTTTCACTCCCTGATATCTCCAATTAATATACGTAGACTCTTGGATAGGTGCTGCCAGTCAGAGTAGACAATATTGGACAAATGGATAAATAATATGACTCCATACACTGTTGCTAGCATTCCATCAGGCACAGCTGTGTACAAAGATAAGATTGCTGCATCTAAGTGGATGGCTCCTATATGTAGGACATGTTTCAATGTGCATAACACAGAATTCATGTTGCACTACCAGGGGCAGAGAGCAAAAGGACACAATGACATTAGTATTCAGGTTTAGGACAATAGTTGTGGATAGAGAATGCTGTACTTTGATTTCCTCCTGAAAGTTAATTTCTTATGAATGTGCCCAATTTTTTTTATAAAATCACTAGTTCCTGAGTACATGTAAGAACCCTTACAGATATGATAAATTTTACTAGAAGACATTGACTTAAACAGTTGCAGATTTCACTAAAGATAGATTTCCTTGAAAGCAAAATTGAAATAACAAAACATAACAGAGGCTCTGTTCATACACTTGCTAGTAAAAGATAATCCTAGAGATGAATATCGGCCATCCAATTCAACTTAATATTTGACACAGTAGAGTGGGGCAATTTCTAAAAAGAAAAAGGAAAATAGACTGATTACTTTAGACCCCAATTCAAAAAGCAATTTTGATTTAAATCTCTCTCAGATGGAATGCTCTCAGTAACATAACTAGAAATCCAAGAAGCTCCGATTACCTTCCTAAGCCGTCTTATCCAGCTATGTATCTCAACTCCATGAAATTACAGACAGATACCTTCATGACAGCTATGAAGTGGACAGATTTTTAGAAATGGTTGGGATGTATCAATGTCAACATTTTCTCTAGAAGTTTAGTTTTTACATTTTGTTCATTCTTTTTGTATGCTAGTAATATACCTCTATACATTTTGCTGGTACAGATTCCATCAAACTTTCAAACTAATTCAGAGCTCTTTGTATTCTGTAAAATAGATATGGAATCCTATTCTTTATTTCACTTCTATCTTTCATATAAATATTTAACATAAAAACAGATATAAAATCAACTAGGAGCTATGGCAATTTGCTCTAAGATAACAGAGCTTTTATTGTTCTCGTAAAACCTTCATTATTGTTATTATTATGAAATGCTGTATGTATTTCAATTTTAATTTTTCAATTGAGTTATGTTGATTTCAGCAGCCATTTTGGATTTTAAAATTTTGGTGTCACACAAGGCTGAGCAAAATTAGCTAAACAGCACTGTTTCAAAGATAGGTTGATGGTGTTCTGAAGCTGGCATTAGACATCCCTGTCATCACCCTCGGGTTTATGATGCAACACTGAAATGTACTGATCAGGCCCAGAAAGAATTGGTTTTAGTACATTAAAAAAAGTCTCAAACATTCAAGGAAACAAACTTCCCTCAAATTAAGTGGAAACTTAGGAATTCTCTCTCATTAAAAGAAAGTACTTCTTCACACAATGCATACATACTCAGTGAATGGAACGTATTAACACAAGATGCTTTCCAAATGTTTAGATGGTTTTGAAGGGTGTTAGCTGCAGAGAGGGTGAGTCTGTCAACAAATGATTAAATAAATAACAATATTTTAAGCAGGCTGTTGGAGATTTTTTTTTTCTTGCTACAAATCACCTTTATACATTGGGAACCAAAAACAATATTGCCAACCATGATTTAGTCTATGTTAATTCAGTTAATGTATTTTTAAAACCTGCTGAATGATGCTGACTTGATGCAACTTGACCTTGCTCTATATTCTGGAGAAAAAGCATCTCATGCCTATGAACATACTTCTAAAAGGAGACCATTTTTGCCAAGGCTAAATGATGTATCTTTGGTGAGTCAGCGCACTATGCATTCAGCTCAGACACCAACAAAGCTGAGAAAGGGATGTCTCCTGTTCAGATACTTCAAGGATACAGCAACTGTGCTGAACTTAAATCTAGGTTATTATCAATAACTGTGTAACGCTATTATGTGCATAACTAAGAAGTCTATTTAAATTTGGTGACGTTTATTTATTCTCAAGTGGTATGTACAGAATTCCTGTTTTATGTATAGAGTATCTGTGTATCTCAGGATCTAACCATTTCTCCTGGCATTTTCCTAGAGACAGTTGATATTATGGCATATTGGAGCAAGGAAAACTGTTGCCACAGTGCACTCTAGGCAAAGGCAGAAAGGCTTCATCTTATTGATTCCATGTAAGCATGTTCTGAGACACAGCCTGCTTACTTTTACATGAAATGAATACAGTATAATGACAGGGTCCCCCAAGCATCATCTTGCCATTATTCATTTATGGATTGCTACAGCATGCCACTGTATTTGTTCATCTTAAACTTTGCCTTTCCAATCTCTCTCTTCAATGTTCAGACCACCAGATCAGTGACATGTCTTGGCATGATAAAGGCCACTTGGTGACATGTTTGTCCTGTCAAGCATTTCATGGGCTTTGTAGGTATCCTGCTAGAGGCATGAGGAGGCAGTAAAATTTCTGGTATACAATAGGAGTGGCAGTATCCATGGCCCTTTGGCAAGCTAAAGGCCTCATAAGGGGTCAGGCCTTGCCTCATCTGATCCAAAGCCTCCAGTAGGCTGAAGAGAAGGCCCCATGACACACATCTGAGTGGAAGCCTGGCTCAGCCCAGTAAACCCCTCTACCATCGACATGTGTCATCTGAAGATCTCACCCTGGCTACCAGAGATCCTTTTAACAAGAGGTGCCAAGGAACTTATTGAGACTTCCATATCTAAAACTCATGTGTGGCAGATGAGATTTAATATCTCATCTGCCACATCCCCAGAGAGAGAACTATAACCAGGTCTCAGTATTATTAGCAATGCAACATTTCTTGTGATGGGGGATGTTGAAGGAGAACTATGAAAATATTCGTTTAGGATTT